TCTCTTTTCAAAAGGCAAATGTTCCGTTCCGTATCAATTCAATCAGTGGTCACCAGATGTCGAAGTAGGCCACAGAGAATGTTGCGCATTGTTTACAAAATTACAAGAAAAAATAGCCCATTGGAAATTACCATTAAAAAGTTTGTATATATAACCGCATTTAAATTCTTTGAAATAACTCTAATCTGTTTAAGCTATCAACGACTAAATCTACATCAAAAGTTTTAAAGCAAATATCAAATATGATACAAAATATTTTTATATCACAGGAGCTTTTCAGCACGAATATAGAAATAATGTGATAAACATTTTTATTTATAATATTTATTTAGTATCAAAATTAAAACAGATTTATTTTACAAGCAAAGCATTTACCTAATTCATCATTCGGCTTATTATTCGCATAGTTATCAAGTTATAGAATAATTAATTAACTAAACGCTCGTTAGTGGGCACAAACAGGAAAACTCAACAGATGTCGCCAACATGATAAGACATATGGGCGAACAAACAGACATATTAAAACAGCGGACTGAGTTTACATGCATTGTTTCCCAGGGGGTTTCATTTCATTTGCATATAAAATTGCAGTTATTCCTGTCTTTTTACCTATATAATATCAGACTACTACTACTACTAGGTAACTATGGCAACTTGTACCATCTAGTAGTACCCTACTTATTGAAAGTTTTTTTTTTAGTGATGAGAAGTTTTCTTTTTCATGATGAGAGTCCCGTTTATAAAAGACAGCATAAGGTAACAGCAACATTTTGTTGATTAGTAGCAAGCTATTTTTCCAAGGATATTATTTATAGTGTTAGCAAGAAAAGGCACCACCTCTTTGTCGACGTCGAGGCGTGGGTTGAACCTCGCAATATATTACTCACTGCACTTTGCTAGTATTTCACGCCTCTTTAGACAGAATATAGACCATTCTATTTTTAAAAATAGCCTTTATAAATAAAATGTTTTTGTAGACTATAAAAGATCCTAAACTTAAAACATTTCAATTTAGCTAGTACAAAATTAAATGTATTTTACATTAGAGATATTTCATAAATAATCTTCCTCTCGTTTCATAACCAATATTCATTATGTAGTAAGGTGTTCGATTCACCTGCTTTACATGTACAGCGTCACCTGCACAACGGCAGATGGTGAACAAAAAAACAACGACTCTCCGCCACCGGAAACTACACACAAAGCGAAATGGGACATGCAACCCTCTGCCAGATTTGAAAGCTTTCTAAACATCCAAATGAACAGAACGACTAAATTACTATGAAAAAAGGGTACTAAATTTTATAGACTTAATAAAAGTAAATTAACTATGGCACTTTACATATTTTATTTTGTGTTTTACGGTGATACATAATATTGTAAACAGAATGAATAGTCCAAAACTTTAATTTTTCTGAGTATTCATTCTCGAAGGATATTTGTACACAAAGATACGAAAGGAAGGTAAAAAATAAACGTTGCATATAATTCATATTCCTGTAAATGCAAAAGGGAACAAACTCCCTGCTCCCACATGCTACGTTCATTGACCTCAAAATGTATTTTCAAGATTGAAGAGCAATTACTGTTTCGCAACTTGTATTTTCTTTTATTTTAAACATGTTTTCATGTTGCGTATCAATCAAGATAACTTATTAACAACACTAACAAGAATTTAAATATTCTTTTGTCCGTTACGAAAGACAACGCCGCGAGTGATGTTTTTTCAAAGGGCCCAATGGAGTCGCATCTAGGTCCGGTTTGTCGTTGCGTCGGACAGGGCTGGAATGTGAGCCAGGTCTCGATGGGACTCGAATCACTGACTCATGCGAGGTTATTTTTTTTTAAATAACAGTACGTTACCGACTTTAGTTAGAAAGTTGGAGGAGTGTGGGTCGCATTGATAAACACGAGTACACACCCACGTTTATGTGTTTGCCACATCTTATAGTATCCTAAATACGTATTAGTTAAAGAACTATTCCATATATTTTGATTTTTTTTAATAGTAAACATTATTAATATCTGCTTAGTAGTAGTATTGTTGCATGACTGACGTTAAATAAAATACCAAGCGATGACGTTAATTTTCATCAAAATAAATAATACATTTTGTAAGATCAATAAATTTTATTTACGTTACAAATTTACGTCATTTTTCGTTGCGTATTTAAATTTCAGATATACGATCCGGTGATTTTATAAAACTATTTTAGATGTAACTGGAGAATCTACTTTTATGTATGAGATGAAGAAATGAATAAAACACTACACAACTGCATCCCGCCCACATGGTTGTTTGACCATATAAGGGAAAGTTTTTTAAATAACAAATAGCCTTAATCTGAATGCAACAACAACTTGACTGTTTATTACTGCAGTTTATAAGGTTTCTTTAACACGAAAGAAAATAAATAAAACGTGGTAAAGTGAATCGGCCAATTAATATCTTAGAGTTCGTGAGACTGTAGCCACTGGGTTTTGAGCTGAGAAGATTAAAGTCCGGAACTGAGAGCTGACAGATACGAATTTATCAAGCGACTTAATATCGTTAGCAATTTAACTAGTTGGAGCTTATCTGTAGAGTCTAGACAGACTTAGTTTTAATAGAGATTAGAATGTATATAAAAGTTATAAACATACAACTGTATATGTTTTTCGGATATAATGACTCGAAGGTAAACACTTCATATAACATAATATACATTACATAATGGCTTACTTTAAGTTATCGTTGAAGTAAAGTATTATTATTTTCTTAAGTTATTTACAACTTTATTTAGCTCTAAATTATAAAGTTAGTATATTTGTTCAAAAATACAATTTACATTTACATTTAAAGATATGTTTGAGTTTTTAATATGTTATAAGTAGCGAAAAAAATAAAGGGTCTTTTCATAATGCGTGTAAGCTTTGACCACAATAGTATAAAGCTCCCACACGTTCCTTGAGCCAGTTAAATAGATCCCCAAAGGACAGGGGTGGGCAGGAATTCATCCGGCATTCCGCTTTGACAAACAAAATATTTTAGACAAAGACATAAAACGGTTTATGCACATTGACCTAATTCTTGGTGTCCTTTCCCAGAATATTATTCGGAAATTATATTTAAGGACAAAAACTTTATTTTGCATTTTATATTTATTTGTAATTTCGAAAATAATGGTTATTAGAAATAAATCAATAAATTGTGTTAAAGGAATTAGAAATAAACTTTTATTTAAAACTTGTTTGGACTTATAATTTATAACTAACAATAATCATATAAATTTACTTTAAATTTAAAATATGAAAAACTTTTTATTATTATTCCTAAGGCCCTTTAGATTGTTTTAAAAGTTTTTCTCGCACCAATACTACGCCGCGCTATCCAATAGAACTCGCTTGACTAGCCAAAGAAACTGGAAATAGTCGTTTATTGTTTGTTGATAACTTGAATGAACAAAGTAAACGTGCTGTCTAGTGAAATAACATGTGTGTAACAGTTATATAGAACATTTTCGACACTGGTTATAAAGATGAATATTTTTACAAATAATTAAAATAAAAAAGTGTTACTATTTTTAATCAGTTGAATGATACATCTATCAATATATCAATAAGCTTATACATGTACCAATGCAATTTTATACAAAATTAAACCAACTTTTAATCTAACAGCGAAAAAACTTTAGCACTTTACAAACACCATTCACTTTCACGTCGTTTCACAAAACAATCACGTTTTCACTTGTATTTTTGTATTTACGTAAAAAAATCCGTATTGGAATTGAACCAAAAGTGAACCAACGCACCGCGACCACCGGACTTGCCGGACGAGACTCGAGTAACTTTGTTGACAAGCGGGAGCCGAACCGTCGCCATATTTGAAAACTTCGGTTCATATCGCTACACTTCGGTTAACTTCGGGTGCATCGTATACTGAAACATGGAGCTTCGTAGGAAGTCGCTTTATCTTTTAATCTGAAGAAAGCTTCGACTGCTAGTTACTAGTTTAACTATCTAAAATAATGTATTTTAAATAGTGTAGGATGCAATATATAATCTCAATCGTTATAACACACGTAAATATGTGAAATTATTAATATATTATAGTTTATAAAAGTTTTATTAATCAAATCTCTTAATACGGGGGGGCTTTCTTTCTTTGATCAGTACTAATTCAGAAGGCATAAAAACGTAAAATATATCTCGACCCACAGTTCCGTCATGCAGGCGATCCCCGTTCATGAACCCAGTCAACTGGTTCTTGTCCGCTGCCAGTGTTGTTCTGATCTCAAATCGGGATCAACATTGGAAACATTGGGACTGAGCTTCAAAATAGTAAATACTTAACTTAGTAAACATATTATGTAAATGAGGGAAACTTTCCAGCGAACTACAAAAAGGGCTAACAAAAGTAACTAGTCTGATTTTTTGTGAATGCTATTGAACGTAATAATATTGAATATTTTTGTACTCATCTTTATGTTTAAACATTACAAAAAATACATTTATAAACTGGTCCCTCATATTTAGTTAAAACTGAAAAAAATGATCGAGCAGCGCCACCTAGCATCGAAAAGTAGAACTACTGCAATGATTTAGTTTGTCGCCGTCGAAGCATAGATGGCTCTCAGTTTAAATAAAAATTCAGTTAAGAAACTGCGTTTGATCACAATAAAATTAATAAAATAGAACTAATATTCTGCAATGAATAGAATTTAAAAATGTAGCTGTATATTATATTGGAACAGAAATTTTTTGTAAGGGCTTTAGTTATAATTATCTTAGAAGCATAATAACGATAGAATGACAACGCGTTCATTAGTTTGATTTGCAAATTTCTGTAATTTATGTGAGGAATTTACATGCGAACTATCACTTCCTGTGCACGGCACACATTGCACACAAAGATAAAACTAAAATGGCCGTCGCGTTGTCATACTTTATTGCCCTCTTTCTAGGCACATTGTTATTTACTTTAAATTCCATACTGAAATCGGTACGAATGAACATACATAACATTATTTATGTTAAGTGTACAGGAATTATCGCAAATGTTATTCTTAGAACTCTAAAAGATCAGTGCTCATAAATAAATGACTAATATGACTCTAAAATTAACAAATACATAATGTGAGTAAATATTGATAATTTACGTTTTATGGACTAACGCTTGTATGAAAAATATTTAATTTACAAATTCCCTTTAGCTAAGCAATGACCTCATGTCTGGAGCGGCTGAGCGAAACGAACATTTTAATTGTGCCAATATGCTTGACAATTAAACGCTTCGCCGCTCAGTTTCGTTATACGCAGATGTCTACTATTAAGGTAGGGGTACAAGAAAGGTCTAAAAGCTTTCAAACTATTAATTATATATAAAATATGAGAAAGTATTATAAGAAATAAATACATTTATGAACATTGATTAGCTATCATGCGTTACTGGTAAAAACATTGAAAAAAATCGTAAATTTAATCGGTCGCGTCAATTAAAATTAATTTCTACGATGCTGAAGAATGAAAGACGGATATGAATTGTAAAGTAACTTTAGATTCAAACCGATCTTAGAAATTACATAGAGATTGAAAGCGCCTGACCTATGTTTGTAATGTACTCAGTCTTCCGACTATAAAGGTGGACGTGAACAAAAACTAGCTCCCGCAAACGAGGTGGCATGCCGTAGATCCTCTTACGATTGATGCTATCGACACTAGTAGAACTGGAAACGGATGCTAATAATTATTTTTGCGTCCCGAGCAAAATACCGAAGTACAAAGTGTAGTGAACTGTAATCATAGTTATAACTCGTAACTATATAAACATACAAAGTAATTATCGTGGCAGCTTTTTGACTACTAGTCGCCCGCGACTCCGTCCGCCTAAACCTAATTAGTAGCCTATGTGTTCCTCAGACTATGTTCTACATTTATGCAAAATTTCATCGAGATCCATTCATCCATCTTAACATTCGCATTTATAATATTAGTATGACTAGTGAGAAATAATATAGAAAGAGATCTGGCTTAAACAAAACCTCTTATAGTTTGTATTGTCGCGTGAATAGTGACTATTTATTTGGCAATAAGGAATAATTAAACGTTAACACGAATTTCCGTCTTTCAAGAATACAACCTTGAGAGAGGTTTTTGTTAAGCTAAGAAAGAATTGAGACGGTAATTTAAGATTTAAATAAGACACTCATGGCCCTTTAATGGTAACTTAGCAGTCCCTTGGTGTAGTTTTCCATACGAAATCTATGTACTTCCCTTAATGGTCGTTTAAGTTTGAGTGTGTCCGTTAAAGCTTGGTAGTCATTAAAGGAAAAAACTAAAACCAAAACGATGGGTGTGCAAAGTTCAAATAATATCAAGAGCATGAACGTGCCAAAACTGATTATGAACAAACAATGGCATTGTGCGTGTGGCCATGGCACTACAAAGCGGGGCGGAAGCGGCGTTGTACGAAAAGGGTTGATAGGAAAGAGACAGGAACACAGGAAGCGGATGTGAGGTGGTTGCGCCTGCGCAACGCTACACAGGTGTGTTGCTAGCGCGCTCTGTGCACCAAATCATTTTATCTTAGTACGTGACTAAAACGTAATATAAGCTTTAATGATTGTTATCAATCTATTGTAACTAATTTGTATGGAGTTAATGGAATCATCATCTCCCTGCCCTTATCCTACTTATCTAGGGGATAATGACAGGAATATAGTTTAAGATTTGAAGCAACGGTAACGTTTCTGAAAATATCGGGGGCGCAGAAGTGTGTGAAATTTGTTATACTGGTAGTCTTCAGAAGAAGCTGCAGAAACTGATTGTCCACAAACATGACATGTTACGCTTAAAATTAATATGGTCTTTAGGTCACTTTGCGATCACGTTTAATTCCACATACTTAGTACAATACTGGGATCGAAGCACGTATTTTACATAAAGCGATGAAGCAACTAAAATATTATAAATAAATGTTAGAGAAATATTGAGTTATTCTCACGCCATTAAGGAAAAATGTATAATTATAAGAATACTACAAATTGCATGTAACAAAAAATTATTAAATTTATTTATAGTCTGGTATTCCAATTGAAATATTTCAGAAAGGAAAATATTCTGTTTATTTCCTAAGTAGCAGGTATAAAAGGAATAAAAACTAAAACGTGACTAGCATGAATTCATTCACGCGAATGTTGTAATCGTTGATAGAGATTTGAAATTAGCGGAGGTGTAACGTATCCGGTATTACGTGAATCACTCGACTAACTCATATGCTAATTAACATTACTTCAATGTCAAGATCATATTCGACAACATAAAATAACGTAACTATTATTTTAATAATATTAATAATTAACCAAAAATCTGCGTTATCGTTCACTTGATGTATTTTATTGTCTCTGGCACTAACTATGGCTTCACTATGCGACCCGACGTTAGGTGTACGCCACGTATTATATAAACTCAACATAGTTTTTAGGTGTAATATACAACTATGCAATATTACTCTATCTCTATCTATCAAGTATAGACATTCCGCGGTTGGTTGTGGGACCACTGACAGTTAGCGCAGCCCACGTATGGCCGTGGCATAAATGCGCTCGACAACATTTCCTTCATTTGCTTAAATAAGGAATACCGTTTGAAAATAATTTTAAACCCCGTATTAAGTTTATTTCAAGTTAGTATTAAATACCTATAGTCACTCTCCGTGGCACAGAGTGTTATATAATAATATTTTAAGAAGTCAATACGAACCGTCAATATCATCCTGTGTAGTATCGAAGTCGGCGAGTGTGATGTTGGTGAGGTCTTCAACGTAGACTTGCGGCTGTCTCGCGAGCGAGTGCCGGCCACCCAGTGAATGGTAGCAGGTGTCCTCCTCGTCCACCGCCTCCTCGGTCGACGAGCCCTTCAGACACGAGTGGAAACTCCGGGAGAGGCGACGCTCCGTGCTCATCCTCACACATGCCCGGGACAAAACTATAGTACTAACACTGCACACTATATCACGTATTCACTTCACCACATTTGATTATCACACGAGTTACGGGATTATTTAATTGGGCTATCACTGTTTGTCATAGTAAATTGGTTTATTTCAGCTCAAGTTCTTTATGTGTAGTGTCTTTAATTCTGCGTCTAAATAGAAGATTGCATTGTTAATAATGTGATCGGTACTAGTATGAAGTCATTAATACTTTTTATCTTATCATTATGATACAAAGACGATAAGAAAGTTAAAATCCCTGTTAACACCGTTTCATTACAAATTAACGATGAACTAATTATAAATGTTTTCCCCGAATGAAAATAAAGCGGATGAAATAAAACCTGTGTTCTGACATGTTTGGAAACGATTGCACCACGTCAAGAAGATACTCAAAAAACTCGACTGTTAAACACGTAACCCGTAAAACACGTTGCGACAGTACTATAAAAACCATAAGGAGCCGCCTGGAAACAATCGCGGAGGTTCAACGCACTTTTAAAATGTGTGGACTACTGGCACCACATTCGGCTAATGAATAGCACTGGAACAAAAGACTCAAATCTTTGTACGCTTCTTACATGGTTCGAGACTTGCATGACAACTTGCTCTTACCAATTTTTTAAACATACAACATTCTTTAACTAAAAAGTTCTGATTAAAATTTTAGATTTTTTGATTTTTTATTAAAAAGATTCAGTTCGTGATAAATAATTTGACGAGACAAACATAGCTAAGATAGCTAAGAAGCATCAAATGCAAGAATTAGAACGTAATTTATTTAGTAAGCTAGACTTCATAGAATTTATTCCTCTAAGTAGGAAATTGTTTATC